ATTGTTAGAGTTACATTTTGCAAATAGCATTTCTGCTCAGTAAAGTTACAAGAGGGAAAGATAGGCAGGTGAGATTAATAAGTTTAACTGAGCTTGAGAAATGCTGAGTGCGTCTGAGTAAAATCAGTATAAAAGAAGCAGTAGCAGTAAGAGAAAACAGTAAAGAAAAAGGCTGATAGGAGAGAGTAAGAAGGAAAGAAGCAGCAACCAATGAAGGAGCAGCAGAATGAAGCAATGAAATGAAGATATACTGACAGTTGAAGTGAGAGGAGTCAGCACAGATATTTCCTCATGGGTGAGAGAAAATAGAAAAGAAACTGTTAAAGATGGTTGTTGTAGTTTTTTCAGACTCTTTGGCTGTGTTCTGAAGGTTGTTGTTCCTAATGTTTTGCCAGTCTCTGTGGCCTTCAGTGGACAGGAGTCAGAACTCTGTGCTCTGGTGCAGTTTGTGGGATAGTTGAGTATTTATAGTTGTGGGATTGGCTTTTGTCAGCTTGTTTTTTGTTGTGGGTGTATTGTTGTGAGAAGGGGGAGAGATTATCTGTCACTGTGATTGATGGGTATCGTTAGCTGGTCTTTTGTGTGCAGCGATCCAGTCCTTGTGGCTGGATCGAGTTCATTGACCTTTTGCAGGCTGTATTTTTCAGTGCTGGGAGCCAGCACTGTTTTAGACTTTCTTCTTTTTTGTTGAAGCTGTGCTGGTGTTTGTGGATTTCAATAGCTTTCTTGTGCAGTCTAACATAATGATTGCTGGTGTTGTCCAATACTTATGTCTTTTGAAATAGGATTTCATGTCCAGCTTGTTTTAGGGCATGTTCAGCTACTGCCGATTTTTCTGGTTGTTTTAGTCTGCAGCGTCTTTTATGTTCTTTGATTCTGGTGTGGATGCTGCATTTTGTGGTTCCAATATATACCTGGCCACAGCTGCAAGGTATCCGGTATACTCCTGCAGTGGTGAGGGGGTCACTTTTGTCCTTTGCTGACCGTAACATTTGTTGTATTTTTGTCCTCTCCAAAAAGCACAAAAGCTGATCCCACAGATCTCACAAACTGCACAAAAGCATAGACAGTTCTGACTCCTGTCCTCTGAAGATGCCGGCTACAGAGACTGGCAAAACGTTACAAAGAATAACCTTCAGAACACAGCCAAAGAGCCCGAAAAACCTACAACAACCATCAGATCCCAGCCATGAAAGCCTTCGAGAATACATTGAAACTGTTAAAGGATTGATGAGCCCTGAAATTCCAGAGGCTACAAGCAACTAATTTAAAAGCAAATAGAACAAGTAATAAGCAATGAAAAGCTGTTATACCTTTTGGGCTATGTAAAAAGTAATATTTAACTTACATGAATTAAATGTCAATCATGCTTTTGTAGAATAAATATCTTTATAAATAACTTTATTCAAGTTAAGACTCTCTGCTGTGCCATTCTGCACTTCAAAACATACAAATGGGACTACAAACCCCATCAGGGATTAGTGAGATGTTAAACAGCAGTACTGACAAAGAAGCCCCCTGAAATATTCCTCTTTTGATGTTAACTTCCCAAATTTCTTCACCATGGGCCATTAAGATGGATTTCCATTTTCCAATGTTTTTCTTGAGGAACTTCTGAATGTTTTTACTAATCCCAAACATTTTTAGGGAAGTGTTAATGCAGCTGTGTGGCAATGAGTCAAATAGTATTTTATAGTCTATCCAGGCCATGTTAAGGTTTGTTTTTTTGTCTTTGTGCATTCTTCAGGATCATTTTATCAATAAGCAGCTGATCTTTTGTGCCTTTTGACTTTTTAAAGTTCCCTTTCTATTCATTTGAATATAGGGAGTTTTCAGTATTTATATATTGATCTTGCAAATAAGTACTCCTGTGAGGAGCTTGAACGTTGTTGGAAGGCATGTAATTGGTCGATAATTACTGGGTTGATTGCCCTTTTGATTATCTTTTATTATCAGAAATGTGCAGCCTGTTGTCATCCAGTCTTCAGTTGTAGAATTTTGAAGTAAGTGGTTAAATTGCATTGCTATACGTTGATGGAGACTTGTTAGATGCTTTAACCAAAGTCTGTACAGCTTATCTGGAACAGGTGCACTCCAATTTTTCACAGCCTTTACTTGCCTCTTAATCATTTCAGTTGTTATTACAGTATCATCCATTTGTTTTCCCTGAGTTTCTTTACAAATGTCTTTAATCCACAAGGTGTTTTTGTTGGGCTTTCCCACATTTCTTTTCATAATTTTAGAGCATCATCTTTACATAGGCCTAATTTCTTTTGCTCTGCATTTTCTCCTAGTGATGTATAGAATAATTGGTTATTTTAAAATTGTGTGTTTTCTTTATATTGTTTCAAGCATCCATCATATCCTTCAATTTTCTTTGCTTTGGCTGTTACTCTCTGCTTTAATTCTTCCATAGTTTCAACAATCATTTTCCTTTCTAGGTAATATATTTTGCATAGTCTGACTCTTACTTTTTCATTTTTAAGTTTTGAATCTTTCAAGTGTTTTTAGTTGCTAATGTCTGCATGTAATTCATTTATTTTTCGTTCCTGCTTTGTTTTCCATTTTGGGGTGCCATGAGTTTTCTGGGGTTTTCATAGCTTCTAACCAAGTTTCATGGTTACTATGGTAGCTGTGCTATACATGAGCTGGTTTGTTTCCTTAAGTGTGTTGGTCAGGATTGTTCTGATGACAACATTTGCATCATTCAGTAGATCTTTTACTGGTTTACTTTGTAATTGGCACAAACTGAAGAGGCATTGTCTTTCTGTGTTCTGCTAATATGGGTTATTATTTTTTTTCTTAGTGATGTTTGCTGTTCTGTCAACTCACAATTTCTGGGTTGTTCCATAAGTTGTTCCTCTACCGATATGTTTTCTTCCACTATTATGTATAACTCTCTCCTCCATTTGTTTTCCATATTATGGTCATTGTTCTGTGTTGATTTGCCACCTTTTCTAGATCTTGCAATTCCAGTCTTGAAAACACTTTACTCCGGATGATAAACCTTCTTTGATCCATTAATCATTGCTCAGTTATGTCACTACTTGGGTGTTTCCTTTTCCAAATTTCCATCATTCTTTTTTGAAAACCATGGGCTGTTGTCTTTGCCTTGTAATGAAATTTCATAATTTCTTGATTTTCAGCAGGAGTCCAAGTTTAGCTTCTTCTTCTTCTTCTTCTTCTTCTTCTTCTTCTTCTTCTTCTTCTCATCATCATCATCATCATCATCATCATCATCATCATCATCATCATCATCATCCAACAGAAGATTTAAAAACATAAATATAAAAAGAAAAAAACCCTAAGGTTCAACATAGAAGCAATCTTGTATATTTGAATAATTCTTCCGATGAGATCCTATTCATGACATCCCATTTTTATTCATTTTCTGTTCCTTTACTGCCAGCTTTTTACTTTCCACCAATTATAAAATAAATTCCGATTTAAATAAAAAGATGATTCTTCTTGTCCCTTTAGCCTCTTAGTTAATCTACTGTATCTATTTCTACACTTTCTAATTTTTTTAATGATCATATCATCATTTGGTGGATTTTCATCTTTCCAAACCTGTTTTACCTTTACATTCTTCATGTAGCTATGCAGCAGCCTGTCCTGGTCCCTCAACAGGGTCTGCTGAGCCCTGTATCCCATTTGTCACCAGATGACCAGAGGGGCATCTGACGCCACTCTGTCTCAACAAGGTCTGTACCCATGGAGTTGATGATGATGATGATGATGATTCAAAAACACTAGGTACAGTGAAAATTATAAAAAAATTGACTGGTATTATATAACAGATACAACTTCTAACCAAAAATCTAAGTACAGTGGTGCCTCGCTTAACGAGCACCCCGTTTAATGACAAAATCGCATAGCGATCGCATAACAATGTTTTGAATGGGGAAAAATCACTTTGCGATGATCGGTAAGCTGTTTCGCTTACTGATTTTCACATAGCGATTTTTTCCAACAGTTGATTGGCGGTTCCAAAATGGCCGCCGGAAAGAATGGCTGCCCGCTCTTTTTTGGGACAGATTCCTCGCTTACCGGGCAGCAAAAATGGCTGCCGTATGGAGGATTTTCGCTTAAAGGTAAGTTTTTACCCCATTGGAACGCATTGAAGGGGTTTAAATGTGTTTCAATTGGGTTTTTTAAATCGCATAGCGATGTTTTCAGTTAGCGGCGATTTTTGCTGCACCGATTAACATCACTATGTGAGGCACCACTGTATGTGTTAAATATCGGCACAGTATGTGTGCTATTCCTAATATTGCCATTTTTGCTGCTCTGATTGTGTTATTTCTGTATTATTGTTATTGTTATTGTTATCATGATGATGATGATGATGATTATGTATGGGATAATTCCAATAAATATATTATAATAGGAGCGTGTGCATTAATAGATTAACATATTTCTCCCTTCTCTCCAAATCTGAAGATCCTTCATGAGAAACTTTAAGTAAATATTTAAAGGGTTTTAAATATTGAATTAAGTCTTAGTGGTCTGCAGCAAAAAAAATATTTAAAGAGGGTCTGTAGTAAAGAAAAGGTTAAGAACTTCTGCTCTACATAAAACACATTAGACTATAAAAACACCTTAGCCTTCCATTATCTGAAAAACTAACTCAGCTAGCTAGGTCAGTTTGTTTCTTTTATTTTTTCATCTCTGGGCATCCTGTATACCAATACTAATATTAAATAAGCTGCACCTCCTCTGTTAAAAACAAGTGTGCAGAAAGAAGGGGAAACATACACTGATGAGATCTATGTCCATCTTCTCAGTTCTCTGCAAAGAGAAGCTGGAGGGATACTTGTGGTGATATAGCCTCTACGGATCCACAGAAAGCTGTGGGCCTGCACAGAAGAACTAAAATTACCCCTTATTAAATTGCAATTGTAATGTAATCTAGTTATGCATTAATCACTAGGGAAATAAAATAATTTTCATCCAGCTATTTTAAAGTTCTTATAATTTGTCCTATCATCCTACTGCAGCTGGGAACATGGCCATGCTATGTGTCTGCACCTGTTAGCACAGGAGGACAGATGCTTTGAACGAGCCAGAAAGAGGCAACAGGCAGAAATGAAGGAGGAGCTACACTATGCTAACAAGCAGCTGATGATGGTGAGGACTAAGAATAATTTTGTCTTCATATTTACTGTTTTGGACTCAATGATCCTCAGGGTTTCTTCCAGCTCAAAAGCTGTATAAGAGACAATGACCGAGTCTCTAATTCTTCTGGCCTTCCAAAAACTTTAAGGTCCATTACATCTTTATTTATATTTATTTTATTTATTTTATTTATATCCTGCCTATCTAGTCGGTTAAGACCACTCTAGGCGGCTTACAAGAAACATACAGCAATATATATAAAAACAATACTACATAAAGAAAGAACATTCAATAAAATAGGACAAAGAGTGGGAGAGGAGAGGAAGGGGAGATCAAAAGTTGATTGAGGGGAAGGCCTGCCGGAACATCAATGTTTTTAGTTGCTTTTTAAAAATACCCAGCGAGGGAGCCGCGCGAATATCAGGAGGTAGATTATTCCAGAGGTGAGGAGCCACTGCCAAGAGGGCCTGATTTCTTGTCCTTTCCTTCCGGGCCTCCCTCAGCATTAGGCTCCTCAGCCTCACCTCCTGGCTCGCGCGAGTGACATGGGTAGATCTTGGTGAGAGTAGGCGTTCCGCCAATCTTCTTCAAGATTCTGAGAGATTAGTTTACCTAGATTATACCATGAGGAGAGGAAGAGATGGGTAACAACAAAAAGAGAGGAGGAGGAGAGAAAATAGTATAAATAAGTGTAAACTTGGGGTGGTGATGATGATGAATCTTACTGATTTTTTGGCTGCTACAAATTTTAAATTCCTGGAATGAGGTTTCAAAGGATAATAACAGAATTTTAGTATCATTTTCACAGAATTAATTCACAATGTTTATTAGAGGTGGGGATATTCATATTTGTATACAAATATGAATATCCCCATGCAGCTGGACCTAACGAGGGTTTGGCCCTCGAGACCAGACTGTCCGCTCACACATCCTGCCACAGTGCCGGTCCCACTCATCCTTCCAGTGGTGCCTGGAGATCTGTTCTCTTCCTGCTTGGTTGGCCACTCAGCAGCCATGTGGGGAGACTTGTCCTCTTGCCCCCTGCCTGGAGTAGGCAGCTGAGCAGGAAAAGATCAGAGCTCTGGGTGCCATTGGAAGGATGAGCAGGACCAGCACCATAGCAGGACGAGTCAGTGGATGGTCAAGTCCTGGGGGCCAGACCCTCATTAAGTCCAGCTGCATGGTGATATTCGTATCCATATATGAATATGAATATCCTCATCTCTAATGTTTATCTTGATACATAACTTGTATTGTGGACAGGAGAGTAGTGTTGGGAAGAATATGGAGAGGCAGAATGGTTTCCCATAGGTAAAGGTGTCAGACAATCTGCATTTTTTCACCTTATCTCTTCAATCTGTACAAAGAAAATATAGAGAAAATCAGACTTGATTCAGATGAAGGAAGAGTGAAAGTTGGTGGAAGAAACACCAATAACTTAAAATATGCAGATGACACCAACTTACTGGCAGAAAGCAGCAATGACCTGAGATGACTTTTAGTGGAAGTGAAAAAAGAAAGTGCCAAACAAGGCTGTACTTAAGACTAATACCAGGGCTAAAGAAGAACTACACAGCTTTATGCTGACAATGAAGAAATTGATATAATGAAATATTTTGTATACCTTGGTTCAAATCATCAATCTAAATGGAGACTGCAGCCAAGAAATCACAAGAAGAGTGAGACTAAGAAGAATTAGAAAAGATTATCAAGTGTAAGAATGTGTCACTGAAGATTAAGACAAATGTCATCCACACTCTTGTGTTCCTGATTACTATGTATGGGTGTGAAAGCCAGAGAGTAAAGAAAGATCACAGGGGAAAAATCATCTGAAAAATGATGTTTAAGGTGCCTAAATGATGAACATGCTGGTCCTAGAGGAACTGACACCTGAACTATCTCTGGAAGCAAAACATGTTGAAATTGAGACTGTCCTATCTTTGGAATATCATGAGAAGTCAAGATTCTCTGGAAAAGGCAATAATTGTTGTAAAGGTTGAAGGCAGCAGCAAAAGACGAAATCAAATATGAAATGGATTGACTCTCTAAAGAAAGGCAAATCTTTGAGTATACAAGAGTTGAGCGGGGCTATTGAGGAAAGGACATTTTGGCAGTTGCTCATGGAAAGGGTGATCATAACAAAGAGGTGACTTAACAATACACAACAACCAGGGCAGAACAGAGGGAGGGGGCAGTGGGACAAGTTGGCATGGGCCTATGATTCTGAGTTAAGGACAATATTCCCTCAAAGCTGCACATGCATGCTTGCCCAAAGCTCAGTAAGGGTTGCTGGCAGCTGGTTTCTTTACTTCCCATTTTAAATGGAGCCCTGCCCACCCTCATGCAAATGAAATGAGGCTCCTGTGCAGCAAGACAGAAACTTAGAGGGAATGTTTGCTAAGAGGCAACCTTTAGCACTAAATATTAAAATTTGAAAAAAGATTAATACAGATAAAATACAAACAAATTCAGATAATAGAAACCAACTCTGCGCTAAATTTTGCTGAGATTATTGGTGTTGTTATACCAGAAGCTAGGAACAGCATTGACTCACTTAAGCAAGCCACTGTAGTTTTACAGATAAACATAGAATTGTAACCCATTCTGACTCTCTTCTCTTTCTAACAGGCAGGAGTGGATTAAGGTGGCCATGAGCCCCTAGGACCTAGGCTGTTCAATGTGTGGGTCCCCTGCTCTCCCTAACCTCCTGTCCCACTTACTCATCATGCTCTCCTTGGAAAAAAAGCCATTCAGTTCCAAGTTTAAAAGCAAGTTGGGGATATTACATGGCTACACTCAGAGCACAGTGGGTATACACATACACATTTGATATAGCAACCTTTATTATAAACAAAAATACAACATTTAAAAGACATTTGAATTGCATCAGCAAGCCAGCAATTGATCTGTTAGCCATGTGTTTTTACTGATCATCTTTTAGTTAAGTAATTTAAGTGTAAAAACACAGACACACGTCCTGTTGCCAAATAATTGCCCTCTTAACAAAGCCTGTGCATTAATCCACGCTTGCCAATAAGTAAGGCTCAGAACCAGAACCAATTAGTTAACAAGATCATTGAACTGCTTACATAGATACATGTCCTACTAAGTAAAATCAGTCTTCCAATAAATGTATATAAGTAAGATGTTGTCATTTAGTCGTTAAGTCGTGTCTGACTCTTCATGACCCCATGGGCAAGAGCACGACAGGCCCTGCCTCCCAGAGTTGGGTCAAATTTATGTTGGTAGCTTCAATGACACTGTCAAACCATCTCGTCCTCTCTTGCCCACTTCTTTTGCCTTCACACTTTCCGAACACCAGGGTCTTTTCCAGGGAGTTTTCTCTTCTCATGAGATGGCCAAGTATTGGAGCCTCAGCTTCACGATCTGTCCTTCCAGTGAGCACTCAGGGTTGATTTCCTTCAGAATTGATAGGTTTGATCTCCTTGCAGTCCAGGGGACTCTCAAGAATCTCCTCCAGCACCACAATTCAAAAGCATCAATTCTTCGGCGGTCAGCCCTTTTTATGGTCCTGTGCTCACTTCCATTAATCAAACCATAACTTTGATTATGCAGATCTGACGGAAAGGTAATGTCTCTGTTTTTTAAGATGCTGTCTAGGTTTGTCATCTCTTTCCTCTCAAGATGGAGGGGTCTTTTAAACTCGTGGCTGCTGTCCCCATCTGCAGTGATCATGGAGCCCAAGAAAGTAAAGTCTGTCACCCCCTCCATATCTTCCCATTCTGTTTGCCAGGAGGTGCTGGGACCAGTGGCCATGATCTTAGGGTTTTTTTTTAATGTTGAGCTTCAGACCATTTTTTGCACTCTCTTTCACCATCATTAAGAGGTTCTTTAATTCCTCATCACTTTCTGCCATCAGAGTAGTATCATCTACATATCTGAGGTTGTTGATATTTCTTACGGCAATATTAATTCCTGCTTCAGATTCATCCAGTCCAGCCTTTCACATGATATATTCTGCATAAAAGTGAAATAAGCAGGGACACAATATACAGCCTTGTCTTACTCCTTTCCCAATTTTGAACCAATCAGTTGTTCCATATCCAGTTCTAACTGCTGTTCCTGTCCCACGTATAGGTTTCTCAGGAGATAGATAAGGTAAGTAAGGCACTCCCATTTCTTTAAGAACTTGCCATAGTTTGTTGTGGTTGATACAGTCAAAGGCTTTTGCATAATCAATGAAACAGAAGTAAATGTTTTCCTGGAACTCTCTGGCTTTCTCCATGAACCAGCGCATTTTAGCCATTTGGTCTTAGTTCCTCTGCCCCTTCGAAATCCACCTTGTGCTTCTGGGAGTTCTCGATCCACATACTGCTGAAGCCTACCTTGTACAGTTTTGAGCATAACTTTGCTAGCATGTGAAATGAGTGAAATTGTATGGTAGTTGGAGCGTTCTATGGCACTGCCCTTCTTTGGGATTGGGATCTCTTCCAATCCTCTGGCCACTGCTGAGTTTTCCAAACTTGAGTGTAGCACCTTAACAGCATCATTTTTTAAGTTTTCAAATAGTTCAATTGGAATGCCATCACCTCCACTGTCCTTGTTGTTAGCCATGCTTTCTAAGGCTCAC